CAAAATCCCGGACCGCAGGTGTATGCGGTGGAGAACGAATGCGCGCTGTTGTCCTTGCGGGGAGCAACGCACTTCACCACCACACCATCTGGGTCGTTCGTTTTGCCTGTCTCTCAGCTGTGCTTTTGCTTTTGCTTCTGCTGCGCTTTTGCCTATATTGCAGAGCAGTCTTTTAGATGAAGTATTAACTACATTATACAGCTAAATTTAATTATTGCCCTCACACTACTCTTGAAGTTCACCTAAATCTAATCATCTCTAGAAGAGGGATATCCAGTCTGCCATTTTCCTATTATTTTCATCTCACCATGGTTCTGAATCGTCTAAAATAGAAGCTAGAAAACCAAGTAGTGCTTTTAAAACATGTTTTGTTAGTTTATCGCATTTCGTCGCTTTTTGACTATATTCGCTGGACTTCTGGGTGACTCTGAAAGTTTCAAAATGGCCGGTCGACTACCTTTGGAGGCTCATAACCAGAACAAACTTTTACAATCACTTGTAAAAGTTGATATTGTGGTTACCGTTTTTTTGCGAACATTCTGAATGTCAAATGAATGTCAGTGGAAGTAATATTTCGTAAGACTTCGATGACGTGTCGTGTACCGTGTACACGGTGCACAGTGTTTGCGTTCCACGCCGAAATGTCATCAATTCACTGAAATGTCACTCGTATTTATTTTTGAACACCTAAACAATTCACACTGATTCCTTAGAAAATACAACTGTACTGTTATGCACTGTTCGCCGACATTTCTTCAGCAATCTACGTCATCTACGTTGTCATTCCCCGTCGGGTGACACAACCTATCAAATTTTCCCAGCGAAAGGTTTGGCGAAAAATAGTTTAGCACAAGGACAATGTAGTAGGCTGCGATTTTGGCCACTAAAAACGACGGAACTTGGAACCGGTCTTTAGGCAATGACTGATTGAGCGCTGGTGGCCTTCGTCGTCGATTGCATCACTGCGATCCTTGCTCTCTTCATTCCACGTTTATTCATCATTCGTTTTGAGGGGAAATGTTGACAGATTGCGACCCAGCATAACCATCTCTCATACTCGAACTTATTTCAATGTGCTGGTCGCTCATATTCACCAAAAATCGTAGGCATGGTGTTTCCTGTTATTTGGTTTCTCTCGGAAGTGGACCTCTATAAGGATATATCGATCATATTCTCAGCCTAAAACGCCTTCGTATAAGGTTTAATTTTCTGCGGTATATTACATTTCATTACCCATAAACGATCCCTCGCGACAACGAGACAGTAAACTTTGGGTTTTTCACACACTTCTGTGAATGTTTCCTCTTTTGCAATACCCGTCTTCACTTCTACACTGTGGATGTCCGTTATTCATGTCAGTTTCTCTTTTCGGTTTGCACGACAGATTATCTATACAGGGTGACATCATTTGTCATCATGTACTTCTTTGTGTTTCGTTATGTTCCTTTGTATTTATTTGATGAAGTTTTTAAAATGTATGCAAAGCAAGTGGAAGGAAAGAAAGCCTCCATAGCTTGCGTTGGACTCGTGGTCATTGTGGAGGATCTCTAACCGGCTTGTTGTTTCTATGGTTTGCTTGCACATTTTTAACAATAACATTCAGTGAAGGGTTACGAAATTCAACAGATCGAGTTCATTTCCATGGAGGCATGATCAGTCATACTGCAGTTATCTGTTAACAATTTATCCAAGGCAAAGTTCTTGGACGATGATCGATTTATGGACTACTCGGGACAAAAATCGAAACGAGCAAAAATTGTCAACGTTACTGCATCATTCTCCAACCTCTTTTAAATCAACCACACGAAGCGACGAAAGTTGAGACGAAGAGTGTGGTTGGAGCGTGAGAGTCGGAGTGCATGTTAGGCTCGGAGGTGGGAGGTGTGTTTCTATCGGACCGGCAGGATGCCACCTCATTCTGATGTCCAACACGTCCACGAAGCGGTGCTGCATTTCGGGCCATTTTTACCGTTAACGTTCATCTATGCCTTTTTTAGTCGACTTTACTTAAACACAGTATTTTTTCAGAAAAGCGATGGTTATAGAATGAGATTCGAATTCGCTGAAAGCAATCTCGTAGTAGAAGGATTTTCTCGTATGTTGGCTGCATTTGTTTCGACACCTGATTGCTTTTCTTCGGTATAAGAGCCACGTTCTTCAAACATGCTCTGCTCTATGGCTTTTGCCGTAGTTATGTGGAGAATGTGTAGCACATGAAGGTGACAAGCAATACACACTCTCGGTTGCTGATCTGTTTTCACACCCGTCCTCACCAAGCCTTACCTACTTTTGTGATCGGAAATTCTCACCAGATTTTCTCCGAAGTCGAAAACGCTGACTTGGCAGAACTGTTGACCACTACGAGTCATGCCATAGGCCTCTAATGCATTAATAATCTCTTGTTATGCTTAAAGAAGTCGAACTCATAGCGGTTCCTTCAGGGATATATCAGGGTGGAGTGATTTTCCTTTGCCCTTTTATTCAGTAGTTAACAGAATAGTGCTGATATCCATAACAGTAGTAACTACTAAGACCGACTTTCAATTAACCTTTAGAAGTGTTTAAAAAACAGCACAGAAAATCCTTGAAGCATCCTGGATATTTTCCAAAAATGAGTTAGAGGAGTATTGCCTTGTAATCACACAAGACGCCCTTATCTTAGGACTAATTATTCTACCTGTGCCAGGCGCATTCCTTACCCATGTAAGACTATGGTCTTATCAATAAATAGAAGTCTTATACTGGACAAAATGATGAGCGTTTAAATGAAGTTGCTTTTAATACGACTGAAACTTAGGTGTTATGTTTTTTCTGCTGTGGTGATGAGTGTTCGGTTTAGTGGATTGACATAGCTGCTTTCCTTTTCCTCACCCTGAAGAAAATGAAGTCGCTGGGACGTTAGCCACTTTTGAAAGAAGAGAAGAAAAAATTACTGTGGTGAAGTAATGATTACAATATGAGCCACATTTAGCTCGCGTTTTAGCAGCTAAAACTTTTATCTAGTTAAATACTTCAGTAGCCAGTCGGTCTCTGGATTTTACGTGTGGGTTGGGCTGTCCTTTGACAGCTTTGTCTTTTTCGTGAACGTCGTTAAATGCTGGCAAGTTGATTCTCCCTGAAATCTAAGAATTGCTTTTCTAAAGCGTTCCTATGTCTTCCTATTCGTTCCTATTTTTATTTGTTTGTTAATTATTGACATTGGAAAAAGTTGAAGAGCCCGCATTCTCATCAATATACTGGGTATAAAATAGTGTGTTGTTTGGCTACCCGTTATCGAATCTCGTTAAATACTGAAAATTGTTCGACGTCTTTTCTAAGTGACCAGGTAACTGCTAAGCACATGCAGGGTAATTGAATCGTAACTCTTCAGTTTACAACGTCATTATTTATTCCTTAGCTTACAAGATCTTCCTCAAATTTTGCAAGAAACTAGTATGAAAAGAAAGCGTGTAGCATGAAGTTTTATCAACCAAATCGATCAACGCTCATATCATTTCAAATTGTCTTTCGATAGTTGTTGTTATCATTAACCTTATGAGGTATTAGTAGTAAAGCAGTTTGGAAACACGGTCTTTAATTTTTTGGTGTGGTGGATGCCAAGCAAAACCACGGTAAAGGTAATTGTGGGTTCAAAGTCCGACTACAGTTCTGACTTTTGCCCATATTTCAGCGTCCTTATAGTTTGAAAGCGTTCCACTTTTCTTCTTAAGGCTTTGCCGGTGTTTTCAAGACCACGTTATTCCAGCATGAACTGCCTTTCGTTAAATTTCGATTTTTTCTCTTTATACTGTGCCAATTCGGTTAGAACTGCAGTGCCTGGATAATGGGATGCATGATTTTTGAGCTGCTTACAATGCCCTCACAGTTTCATAGAAAGGGCTTCTCATTGTAGAGTCCTTTCTTCAGCTGGTTGTAGAACGCGTCCAGTTCATTTCCATCAGTTTTACAGGTTTGTGACTAATGATTATGCTGACTTTCTTCTGACGTACAAGTTGAAAACGAAGAATGGCCAAGAATGGTGGTAGGATTTCGCATGAGGTGCCTAAATGGGAAGTAGATAGTTGTAAGAGGAAGACAACGCCTCCGACATTTCGTAACGGAAATTTCCCTCCACGAATGATGAGGGTACTGTCATCTAATTGACTAATGTCTATCCTTCCGGTTTTCGTCTCTGATAGGGCGATCACATGGAGTTTGATGCGATGTGCAGCCTCAAAAAGAATGTAAAGTTCGGCGTCCAAAGAGACTGTTCTGGCGTTAGAGGTGCAGGGCAAGAAACAATCACCGCAGCACGTCATGGGCGTCCTCGTTTTATCCGTTTCCAATGACGTCAGGTTCAACCCACGATTTGATTGCCTCTCATCCATTCTCTGATCATCCATCGTCGTAGACGGTAACGAACGGCATGTGGGGTAACGGGACTCGTTTTTCTCGTTGGGCTAATGTGGTTCCCTGGAGTCCGGTGGTCAGTTAAAGCCAAGCCTTTCTCAGGTCATCATCACCTCAGACAGAAACTAACCTATGCTCAGTTAAAAGATTAAGCCATGCATGAGGAGTTCAGCTTCAAGTGAAACTGCGAACGGCTCATTAGAGCAGATGTCATTTATTCGGAAAATCCTTTGGATCAGAAGGAGATTTGCCACCTTGCAACTATTTTAATAGCAGGACGGTGGTGATTCTTGATGTCGGTTTACTCTTAACGGGCTTCGGGATGGAGACGTCGGAGTCCTTTTCGGCTTGAGAGACGCGCATAAACCCTCGCATTCCTTTACCCAGGAATAGCTTTCGGAAGCATTAAAAATTTATTTGCAGAAGGAGGTACTTTCTATAATTTTAGTACCACGATGTGAGCAATTCCTTGGTTTTTATGCTAGTACTCTTATCGTTTTCGTACTTCGCCTTGTTTAGTTTTTGCAACTATTCTGTAATTGTGCAGATTATTTTTCATTGTTTTCATTTTGAGTGTTTCCATCGTTCATTTGCAGTGCGTCCAAACGAAAATGGTCCACTACAAACTTACATACTTAAATGGCCGCGGATTGGCTGAATGTGCTCGACAGGTGAACTTTGTTTGTTTCTGTATAGGTTGTATCAGTTGTAACCCTAAAGAATATCCCGGACAGTCATCAGAGTTCTTTAATTGTCTTAATCCGTTCCACAAAAGCGACCAGCACCATATCAATTCGTTTTTATTCCTTACTGAGACGTACCCATAGGTAGCTCGCCTTACATTAACATGTAGTGTTGGGTTCAGCCTTGGGTAGTTTGTCATGCACTTCCAGGGTAAATGTTATGCCTATTTCTTGGAGATAATCCTGAACTGTCATCCATATATCTATCAGTCGCTTGATTGCAGACTTTCGGCCGAATCCGTATGAAGGCTACTATTACATTAACACACCCACTAAGTCGTGCATGAATTTAATCACATGTTCAGAGGGTATAATTCACTCCGGTCCAGTAGAAACAGTGAGAAATTCACCTTCCGCCCACCTTCCGAGTCCACCGGCATCTTATCGGCATTTATATAGGCCTGCTCGAATTGTCACTTGTTGGAAATCCGTATTTTCTACCGATTTTCTGTAAATAATCGATCGGTCCGTTAAGCTTTATTGATTATCTTTGCATGTGAACTACCTGAACAATCAATAATTATCTTTGCGACTGAATTGCCACTTGCGTTTAATTAGGGCATGGTGTTACTTAATGACTTATTCCAGTTAATTTACCTTCAAACAACACTATCTTGGGTGATGCTCTAATAATGCTCTTTTACCTCCTTCAATGTGACTTTTGCTCTTAATTGTCACACCATTTCAGCTGTTTGCACTTGCTGACCAACAATACGAGGATGTTCGTATAAGCAGGGAACAGTTAACTTCAATAAAAGAAAGTTAGTTGCATTCCGAGTATTCTTTATATTCTTGATGATTCGAACAAAATCATCGACGTTCTATTGGTTTTAGGTTTGCCTTTTGGACAGGTGCCAGTGCTTGAGGTAGATGGTGAGCAATTAGCGGAATCGCAAGCCATCAATCGCTATCTGGCGAGAACTTTTGGTAAGGATTTTTGTGAATTATCCATCAATAGACTATTGGTCGATTTTCAAAACCTATTTGCTTGCAATTCAACTCATTTCTTTGAACAACTGTCGGTTTCTTCTTTCAAAATCTAAGGGCGAAACATGCTTTTCATCGTTCGGTTCATCCAGCAATCGTTAATGCCATCATAAAAAGGACGTTTATTAGAATATGGTTATGGTTATAAAGTAGAAGCTGCTTCGAAAGTTATACGATTTTACGGCCAGGAGCTTGATAATGAACAAACTATCTCCGAAGCGGAGCAGGAGGAAGCAGGCCTTGCAGTGTGCTCAAGAGGATTAGAGATGAATAGGAGCAGCACTGGGCACTATAACCACTTGTTAGAATCCTCGGAAGCCATTACGCTATGCAAGCATAAGGAAAGAGATGTCAGTGCTACCGAGAACGCCATCGAACCAATGTGGAGCTGCGAGTACACCGTATCATGCAAGATGCAGAGAGAGAGAAAAGTAGGGAGAAAGAAACGGGGAAAATCTGTGAGTACGACCAACATCAACAGTCAAAGTTCAGAGACTACGTCTTCCACCACAAAGTGAACGAGGAGAAGCACATAGGCTAGACACGTCATGAATGTGAACAAGGAACCGGTACGCAAAATCCATCCGTGATTGTCTTCCACAGGACGTGATCACACATGAATGTTGTGGAGCTGTTAGTAGGACTACTGTTTGAAAATTAAGCAAAAATATGGAGCTTTCCATGTTCTTGGAGCAAGGAGAAACACTAATGAATTGATATACAACGTGGATACAGAAGTTTTACTGGAATCTGTTCGAATGATGAACGGGAGGTAAGGTAACTATGGCGATAGCAAACCAAATAAAGGGACTTCTATATGTTTCTGTTTCTCATCATCGCTAAGAGTGCTTTTAGGATTTGCCGGAAAAACAGCCATTGAGGAAGCGATTATCAACTCGCTGGCTGATCAGTACGCTGAATATAGAGCTCATCTTTTGCCGTACTTCCTTGCCCTTCTTGGTTTTGTACCAGGGGATCTCGTAAGTTGTCTAGTGTAGTTTTGCTAGCAACATGAGTGTGATGAGTTCACGGAATAAGTTACCACTATGATTATTCAGGATGAGCTGAAGAAAGAAACAGTGCCGGCTCGGAACAAATTTCTCGGATTTCTTACGAAATTTCTGAAGAAAAATTCTGATAGTGGTAGGTTGGTCACGAGATCTTTAGCGAACTTAAACTGCACTGACAGAATACCTGGGAATAAGATGTCAGAACTGTTAGCGAAGTCCTGAATTGTGTAGTTAGGCTCTTTTCTAAAGGAACCAAAGAGTGAAGCATTTTCTGCACGAAAACGATAGCATGTTCTTTTACACTATTCCATTTAATGTAGTTTGCTTCCAGTAAGAGTCGCAGCACTCTCTTTTTTTTCAAGCATGACTCATCTTCGCAACTACATTGGGGTTTCAGTACTTCTCGTATTGCATTCGTTTCCTTTCGTCCCTCATCCGCGGTCCGCGGATTTTTCATGTCGGTTCAGCTACTACTTGAGGATTGTGTTTTTTTAAATATCGTTGAATTTTGGCTCATTCGTCCGTGCTTACCCATGCTAGGCCGTCTATGGTTTTTTTTCGCAGGAGTAGCGTCACAGAATCCAGTGCCAATTCCCTGTCACGATTGGATGGGAGGCTATGTTGGCTTTGTGCGAGGTCGAACCAAGGTGCATTGCAGGTGACCATTAACCACTGCGCTATCCATACCACTAAAGTTATTGGTTACCATAATACCAAATATGTGCTTAAACTTGGTGGAAAAAGTGTTTAGCCGTCCGCATAAGGTTGGTCAAAGAACTTCTAGACTTTTCGTGTATTTTAAGGCAATGTATTTTAAGGCATTAACCGTGTAGAGGAATGATTTGTGAAAACGCGTTCCTATCGATCTTTTCTGAACCGACAGATCTGTTTCCTTTAAGCGATAAACATCCAATGTGTAGTTGATATCTCATTGAGAACACAAGCAATCATTACAGGATTCCTCGTTGGTAACTCATTGACCTGGATAGATGTACTGGTCGCAGAGCACATTTCCGATATCAACACGAGAGTGCCCGACTATCTCGATGGCTTCCCAGAGGCAAGTGGCAGTTTCAACATTGCTAAGTGTAGTTCTCGACATTATTAAAATTCGTAAATTGATGAATAAAGAAGCTTTTTTGCTCTTCGTAACAGTTTGTTTCATAGAGGATCATTTAAAATCTTCCGGCAGTAGTCATCAAGGTATCTAAAAGAAGGTCTTTGTGATTCATACAGCGACCGTGTTTTCTCACCTTCTTTGGATGAGAAATATGTGATATTATCGAAGATGTTTAGTGAACAGTGAGAGCATTTGGTTAAAATTCTTGGTTCTAGGTCAAGGCCCACATGGAGAAAGTCCGTTCGAATCCGAAGTTGAAGAAATGGATCGATAGCCGACCACAGTCGGCTTTCTAATCGATTTTAATTAAAATATCAAAGAATGACGAGTGAGAACGTTGTTTTTTGTCGTTGCTGTTTTTGTCTGTTCAATGAAAGTGTTGGTTTACAGCTTGAAGTCTTTCTATAACTTCGAATTGTTCTCGTATCTCATTCCAAAATAGTATGTTCATTCTGGTCATTTCTTCCTTCATTCTAGAGAACAAATCCTTAACAACGAAATGAAAAGAGAAGATAAGCAAAAAATACATACGGTGTACGGCAATCTTTTACTGTAAAAATGTTGAGAGGGACCTCTTATCTCACGACCGACTTCCTATTAACTGCGGCACTGATCAAATAATACTCGATATTCTCCTCGTGTAAACACAATGTATTACTTTAATCTTCATTCCTGTAAAGCTGACGTTTCGTCAGTGTGGTCCTCTGCAGACTCTGAAAAGTACGCTTAGGGCCTTCTTATCTCAACATATTATTTAACTCAATGTAACGCTAAGTTAAAGTTGAGGAAGTATGAAAGCGATGACATTGTCACCTTCCATGAAAGAATGTAATGTTGACGGAATACTAGAAAAAAATTGGAGGCGTTAGTATGGTCTTTCCGATGTAGAGGCGATGATGTTTTGAATCGAACAAAGAGTATTGGCCAAATTTAAGAGAATGTTTTAGGAGGAAGTGTTAAGTTTTGCGCAACGAGGAATTGGTGGAATAGGTTGTTGGAGTCTTATACCTCATAACAAACATGTTCTGGTGATGTTAAGGTAAATAGGAATAGAGTGTTCAGAAAGATGGCGTAACAGAAATTTCAGACGTATTGAGCTAAGTAGTCGTGATATGCTTGTTTAGGCAAAAGACGAACGTTAAATGTGTTATAGACCAGGAACAGTAGAAGATATTGAATTTTGGGAAGTGGGATAACTTGAGTGAAGTTTGTTATCGGTCCAGGTGCGATATAGTTACGGTTTATCAACAATAAGAACGTATAGATTGAAGAACCTTTCTTCATTTTCAAAAATACGGCGTTTAGTCGCTCCATCGTGGCTATCTCAGGACTCCGGGGAGAATTGCTCGACCAGCATTCTGCGACATTGAAGATGAAATGAAAGTTCTCATGCAGCAACTGATGCCACACTTAAAACTTGGAAGACATTCGTGGACGATGGATGCGAGGAAACAAATATTGAATGCGAGAAGTGCTGGGATCCGCACAGTAGACGTGAAGACGGGTCATATTAAATAAAAAAAAACCCTATAAACATTGAAAAACCTCTTTTCATCTTCAAAAACATTAATTCTGAAAATCCTTCCGGGTGCACAGTCTCAAAATCTATACAAACGAGTAGGAAATGAAGACGTCTGTATGGAAAACGCAACCACAACCTCGGACTAAACACGTTTGTTGTGCGGCGGCGCAACATTTTATAAATACTCGATCAGTTCTCACAATTTTTAGAAATGGAAAGAATTTTGTCAACGTATTCAGTTCGGAAAGCCTCAATAGACGTACATTTTGATATCTGTTGAATAACTTGCTGTAAAATTTCGTCAAGCCGACTATGCAGTTAAAACCACATAAAGCGATTTTTAAGCAAACCGTCATTTAACCTCGGTCTCGGCAGGTATTTAAATTGTTAAGCTGAAACGATGTTGATACACAGATTTATTCGGCTAACTCTAAAAACTGTGGACCATGGGCTAGGATCATCGGCTCTGATGAAGACGAAAACGTCGAAACATTACCCGAATAATTCTTTTTATCAACCTCGTCTGAGCTCAGCAATTCAAATAAATGTTAAAACTATACCCTCCCAACGGTTTACTGCCTCATCGCGGCTGGAAGGTGTTCCTGGATGTCGGACTGATACGTACGGGGATTCATTTTCTGGCAGTGTCTCCCAAGCTGAGAAGGAGTCCAGCATTTCTATCAAGAAGCCTAGCTATGAGCAAACCAATATCAGGTTCTACCACCGTCCTTGCATTAAGGTTACATGGTGACTCCCTCTGATCCACAAGGGCGGAGACTGCTTGTGGTGGTGAAGACCTGGGCAGACTCTGGCCACGTTGACCTCGGGACTCCAGGGAACCACAATGGCTTAGGCAGTAAATCTCCGAAAAATGGAGATTATGCTGGAGCCCGCACAACGAGTGAGGATGGGCCATTCGAGTAGTACTAGTAGATGTTAAAACTATATAGTTAAAAAGTCGAAGGAAACTCGGCGCGAAGAGTAACACCTATTTTCGTTTTTCTCGATGATAAGAACTCGTTTAGTAAAGCCTAGTGATTACTGTAAAGAATCTCCTGTTGAGAAGCAAGATGGAAGAAAAGAGTTAACTTCCATAAATCAAGAGCACGAAGAATGAAGAAGCGAGGACTTTCAGCAAAATTTTCTCGATCTTGGCGATGATAATGCATGAATTAAAAAATAACGACTAACAGCCAACTTTCTTGGCTACTAAGAAAAACGAACGACGTTTAATTCCGGGTTGACTACGGGAACACAAAAACTCGTCCGCTTTCAAAACACAGGAAGACTATATTTTTCAACCTATTATTAAAGCAACCGTGCGTAGGATCGCATGCAGTTTGTATGAACTTCAAGAACGACTCCGCTATAAGACCAAAAAAAAAACATCGAATAGAAATGGAAATAAAGAAATGGCGCTCTTACCACCTCCTCATTTCACTAAAGCGTTCTTCAGACAAGACCCCAGCTTCGAAATTGATGCAAAGTTTCGCATGTTTTCGGACGATCTTCTCAAAAACCTTCACTATCGCGATAGAAAGTATATCTCTAACCTCACATCCGCACAAAAATGTGGTATGCAAGAAATTAGGGAATTAATAAATTCTAAGGCCATTAGACTATCAGTTAGTGATAGAGGGAAAGAGTTCGCTGTTATTCCTCACCAGTTAGATGTTAAGATAACGAAAGAACATCTTAGTGATGCTACCCTTTATCGCCCATCATCTGAAAAGGAATACAAAATACAATACCGAAAACTTAACAATGAATAGGTTAAAGTGCAAAGGCAGCTAGCTTAAAACGACCCGTTATTTCGCATTATAAAATAAATCGACCAACATGTCCCGTTTTGTACTTACTTTTAAAAACACGTAAGTTAGTTTCAGCTGATGGCCTTGCGTCTTCTATTCCATTATCCAACAAGGTTAGAGCCATTATTAGCTGTGTGGATGGGCTAACGGATAGAATAACATGGTTTCTAGGCCACATACTTACCCAGTTGCATAAGCATATTCCAGTTCACCTCACGAACACCCTAATGTTCCTTGAACGTCTACGAGCGAGTCTCCTAAGAAAGTGTACGTGATGGAGTCCTTCGACGTTTCCGCGCTTTACACCAACGTATCGAATGACCCCGCAATACAAGCCTCGACAACATCGACGAAGAATACGATCGGCTCATTCAACATCTTCACGTTGACGCTATGAAATCCAAGAGCTCGAAAGTCACCAAGAGACGTCTGTCTCCAGAAGTACTCGAGTTGATACGTCAGCGTGGATTCACACGAGCTGCAGGCAACCGTGAACTCACGTCTGAACTTGCAAAACTATGGAGACAAGTGGTAAGAAAAAGATGCTAAAGGGAGAAGAGCAACGACTATGGCCAAACATGCAGAAGCTAGGATAAGCATTCGCAAAGGCGTCCTTAGCTTATCCAATTACAAAACTAAGGTGATTGCAGTCCTACGCCCAGACGGAACAATTGCTGCTTCTAAAGAGGCATTGGGGATAATCATTCACGATTACTACTCGAATCTCTTTAACAGATACGCTCTCCAGCTTTCATATGAAAGAAAAGAAAGTATGTATGCTGAATCACCGGTTCTTCCTTTCGAAATTTGACATTTTGTTTCTGGACTTGGAGAT